ATTTTTTTACTATATACATTATATTTAATTAATACATGTATCTGAGTACGCATCCCTGTAAAATTAACATCTACCAGGCTAGATATCGAAAGATTTTTTTTTTTTTTTTAAGAAAATGTATTTCGATAGGAATCGAACCCGTATTCCTTTTAACCTTGTAAACCAAGTTAGATATTCTTTATCACAGCAACAAGAAGAAGCCATTAGAAAATAAAAAACAAAACAAACTAGGCCTAATTATCCTATTAAAAAAAAAGACATTTCTCGTTGAGCCATTTCGAAGTCTCTAATTGCTGATTTTATTTTCCTACTTGAAACGTAAAAAAAGTATTTTTTTTTAACAATTAATGGATGTTTTTAATTTGACATTTATTTTTTAATACTATAAATATTAAACTTTAGTAGGTAACATGTTTGAATAGTCATCTTTCTTCTTTTATGTGCCGTGTCCCATCAGGACGTAGGCGATCATGGCCCTCCACCTCTTCCTGTCCTTTGTAGCTCTTAATAAGTTTGGTCTTTTTGTTATTTCTCCCAGACCCTGTTCCGCTATCCACTTGCTCAAACACATTAAGTATGTCACGAATTTCTTCCCCCCTATCACTCTTTCCCTCTATCCGTCTTGTGAGTATCAGATTTTCCAAACCCACCTTTCTCATTACGTGCGCCAGAAATTTCAGTTGACTCTTGCTGATGTTAAGTATTAAAAGTTTCCACTTTATTTCCATTCTCTCCAAAACTTTGTTGATGCTCATATGTTTCGTCCATGGTATTCTTGCATCTTTCTGTAGAATCATACAGGAGGATATATATCATGTAGCAGTTCAGTTGTCATTCTTGTAGATGTTAATTTTGCTGCTTTAAAACATGTTAGGGTCCCATCTATGGGCAAATAGTTACCCCCCACCACCACCCAAAAAAAAAAACAAAACAAAAAAAAACTCCAAAACAAACTGGGTTCAAAACACTATGAAAATATAAACGTTTTTATAGTAAAAATACCAGCAATACATTTTCGTTGTAAAAAAAAATTACCACTAATACTTTTTATGTAACAGGAATTACTAATGTTCCCAAGAAAATTAAATTTCGACATTAAATGACCCATAAGGATTTGATATGTCGCTAAACAAACACCTACAACTGATTATGTACTTACCTATATATATATATATATATATATATATAGCACATACGATTACCCTGAAAGTATAAAATTATGTACAAAATATCTGTAGTTAACGCATATAAAGTTGTTTTCAAAATATTTAGATTTCGGTATTAAATAACCCAGAGAGACGTTGAAATGCCGCTAAACAAAAGCAACGAAACTGTTTTTAAAAATAACAGTGATCTTAACTATTAAAAAGAAACATTTAGGTCGACTCAGGCCTGTGTACCCACTAAATATAACGTTTATGTTAATAAGGTATAATCGTCTAACTTTAGTGTGACGCAGTCACAAGTATTGGGCAAACAATGAATTTAGAACCCTCTATAGTGTGAAAGTCCAACAGATTAACCATTCCTCGACGTTGAAACGCTCATTGAGTGCCAGTGATATAATATAATTATTTCAAGTCTCTCGCCATCGCCAACAACAGCAATAAAAAAAAAAGTAAAAGTAAATTCTTAAATTGCCATTAATAAGTGTGGTCAGCAGGCAGCGTAGTGATTTTCCAAGCATAGTTTAGATGTGGCACAAGGCCGAAATTGGGGGCACCCAGTGAGAATCGAACTCACTACTCAGCCGTAATTGTTCTAGCGAGACAAGCTTGTTAACCATTACACCACCTCGAGGTGTCCAGTCAGCAGGCAGCATAAGTTATAGAGCAATGTCAATCACGTCATTTCTAGTGATCTGTATTTTCATTCATATTATAGTGGCCTTGTGCCAGTCTTTACTAAGTTTAGTAAATAACTATATTCATAATTGGGTAGGGAACGTGAAATAGGGAAGAGCTTAGCTGATACTTCACTAAGCGCTCCAGTTTTTTGTCCTTTTGCCAGACAACGTTAAGATGAGTAAATAATTCTATGTAGAGGCGCGTATGCACAGACCATTTCTCATATATAAGTTCGTAGGCTGAATGTTGATCTGAAATTTTCCATGTGATTCATAATAAACCCCTTTGCAGTTAAATTAGGTGATTTGACAAGGAAGGATGATAAATATTTTTTTGTGTAAGATTAATTAATTCTTTTTTATCATTAAATAACGGACTTGCTAATGTACTTCACACACACACACACACACACACACACACACACACACACACACACATATATATATATATATATATATATATATATATATAATTAGAGTGATTGATTCGTTTTCTACTGTTTATAAACCATGCGCAAGTTATTTAAAGACAGGAAATATTTTTAGATTGTAAGATTTCTTTTGGTGGGAGTAATAATGGTTTAGTGATACACGTCTTACTGGTTAACCCATAGCTGAGGAGAAGATGTGTATTCATACAATTCCTATGGGTATTTGTGCGTAAGTGAGTATAACGAACCCAACTGTAATTGGAACTCCGCTCTCCGATTAACAATTCCGAGCCATTATCTGTTACACCACCCGCACACACAAACTTACAGCACCTGGTATTCTCAAGCAGTCACCCATCTAGGTACTGACCAAGCTCGATTCGCTGATCGTACGGGAACCGGCGTTTCATATATATATATATATATATATATATATATATATATATATATCTGGTCCCCAGACTCCATGAATTCAAGCGCCCTACGCGGCTGGCATCCCGCTCCCACCCTTACACTGTAGAAACTTTTAAATGTAGCCGTCTCTTCTACTCCAATAGCTTCATACCTCGCACCTCTCGCCTGTTGAACACCCTCCCCAATTACTGTTTCCCTGAGAGCTATAACCTCCAACTGTTCAAATGTAATGTCAACCGACTTCTCCAGTTACCTTGATCTACCCACTATCCCTCTCCTCGTCCTTTTTTCTATCACTCCTATCTGCTCTCGCTCCAAATCTTCCGCAACCCCCTGCATCCTAGTGGCTTCACGCCTTGCTTGGGGCGTAATGCTTAAAATATATATACAGTGTATTTATGAAAAAGAAAATACATAAAACGTTCAATTAGAGGTGGATGACTACCTTTGGAATCGGTTAGCTCCCTATTAATAAACTACGTAGTTGTGAAAATTACTCGTATTCCGCTTAAATTCTGTCATTGAAAAATACAAGCCCCAAGAGTCATTCAAGGCAGAGAGTTATTGAATGAGATTGTTTTATGAGCATTGATTCGAGATTTGAAGAAGTTAAGATTCTAGTAATCGGGGAAGCATCCTCTTGGGAGTCTGTTCTACAAAGCAGCGAATATTGGTAAGCAGCTGTCCAAATGGAACTTCCTTCTTACCAAAGGAATACGAACGGAAAGAGGATGATCTACTCTGTGTTCCTGACATGGCGGGTTTTAGATCTGAATGTTTGAACTGATAGAACCAAGGGATCAGGACATTTTCCCATGAAAATAGAGTAGCGATAGGTTTGCGACGTTTCGTTTGTGGGGGGGGGAGGTTGTGTAGTGGGGGAAACATTTAATTACCGGCATGGCAGCGTAATCTCTTTTGAATTCTGACATAACTGGAAAGAAATGTTTAGGTAGCGCCAAACCAAATATGGCAGTAATAATCCGTTTTGGACACTTGTAAACATAGAGCATGATAATTACAGTGTAATGGATATCGGCACGGAGTAGGAACTTGAAGAGCCGAGTTCGAATTCCTATCGAGTTTGTTAGATTTACTTACGCACAAATACCCTTGGGAAAGGTATGACTCCGTCTTTTCTTCCCCCAGGTACGAGTTGAACAGACTGGGTTCTTTAGACTTGGTTAGCAACCAGTCTACCGCAGAAATATATGGCAACCTACTGTGGGGAAAAAATCTGCCTCGTCAGTCATATATCAAAAGATATGTGATCGCCGAAACGTGTATCACGTATGTCACTTAACTGATATAAGGAATCTATCATTTTCATCTCCACTCATTAAGGGCTCAGGAACACCAAATGTACTGTAGTAGTGGCGTTTCCTGGGCAAGGTAACCTGACGGAGCCCAACCCTTCATTTATTTTCTTCTAGACTGGCTGCCATCCAAGGCTACTGATCCAGCCTGTCCAGCTATTTATTCACAGCTGAGATGAAGGGGAAAAATGTATTCATACCTTCATAATCATTTTACCAACATCTTAACCTATGGATTCACTTGAGTGCTAGTAGACTGCCAAAGTAAAGCGTCTCCTTGATATGACACCCTTCACCTTGATAGACGAACATTCCGGGTATATTCGGTGATTGTCAACGAAGAAAATTATAGAAAAAAAAAAAAAATCAATAATTGTCGTGCAAATGCCAACGCACGATAATCTCCAAATTTGATTTTTGTCCGAATCGATCTTAGGACTTTTTAGTCTTATGACTCACTCGCTTTCTCCAACCGGCGCAGATAGCTTCACTCTAACACACGAGCATCTTAAATCTTTTCAGGCCACGTCCTTATCTATGTTAAATATTAAAATTGATTAAAGTAGTCTGGTCCTTTGAGATTTCTACACGGGAGTTGTACATTGCATAAACAGAGGTAGGATCAGTGAGCATGCTCAGGTGCTGGGTTAGGGTTGTAACCGCGGGTACTGGCCAAGTCGCAAAACACGCCCACCTACAACAGAGTTTGGTCCCAGATTAAAAACAATTTTGTGTTGTAGAAGCCTTCGTGAAGAAGCGAATAAATTAGCTGCTTCTCGAATATCCTTACCTGAAAATCACTTTGCCTTAATCTGTGAAGAAAAAAAAATCTTTTCATATATATTAAGTGTTCCTGGTTTTATTGCTTATCCTCGCTCTTTCCTAAAACCTTCCAGTTTGACATGGTTCACTGCAGAGTTAATTCTTTCATTATGATATTGTATTGGGAAGTTGACTCAATTTTCTTATCAAGTAATGGCTGTCTTTAGACGAATGCAAAACTTTCGTGAATCGATTCCGATTGTATGTTTTCCTCACATACTTGTCCTCTTATACGTGTTCTCATCCCGTTCCAATCTTGTTCTATTAGACATCTCCTGTACACTCTCATACACTGAGACCTTTCCTGTACCCCCTCGTTCTCTTATACGTGTCCTTTACCCCTTCTCCTCTTATACAGCACCTTTACCCCTTCTCCTCTTATATACCCCCTTTACCCCTTCTCCTCTTATACACTCTTGTCCTCTTAGACCGTTCCTCTGCACTCGCTTCCGCTTAGACCGTTCCTCTACGCTCTCGCTTCCTCTTAGACCGTTTCTCTACACTCACGCTTCCTCTTAGACCGTTCCTCTACACTCTCGCTTCCTCTTAGACCGTTCCTCTACACTCCCGCTTCCTCTTAGACCGTTCCTCTACACTCTCGCTTCCTCTTAGACCGTTCCTCTACACTCTCGCTTCCTCTTAGACCGTTCCTCTACACTCTCCTTCCTCTTAGACCGTTCCTCTACACTCTCCTTCCTCTTAGACCGTTCCTCTACACTCTCCCTTCCCCTTTAGACCGTTCCTCTACCTCTCCCCTTCCCCCTTAGACCGTTTCCTCTACCTCTCCTTCCCTTAGACCGTTCCTCCACCTCTCCCTTCCTCTTGGACCGTTCCTCTACCTCTCCTTCCTCTTGGACCGTTCCTCTACGCTCTCCTTCCTCTTAGACCGTTCCTCTACGCTCTCGCTTCCTCTTAGACCGTTCCTCTACACTCTCCTTCCTCTTGACCGTTCCTCTACACTCCACGCTTCCTCTTAGACCGTTCCTCTACACTCTCGCTTCCTCTTAGACCGTTCCTCTACGCTCTCGCTTCCTCTTAGACCGTTCCTCTACACTCTCGCTTCCTCTTAGACCGTTCCTCTACACTCTCGCTTCCTCTTAGACCGATCCTCTACACTCACGCTTCCTCTTAGACCGTTCCTCTACACTCTCCTTCCTCTTAGACCGTTCCTCCTCTCCTTTCCCCTTAGACCGTTCCTCTACCTCTCCTTCCTTTGGACCGTTTCCTCTACCTCTCCTTCCTCTTGGACCGTTCCTCTACCTCTCGCTTCCTCTTGGACCGTTCCTCTACGCTCTCCTTCCTCTTAGACCGTTCCTCTACACTCTCGCTTCCTCTTAGACCGTTCCTCTACACTCACGCTTCCTCTTAGACCGTTCCTCTACACTCACGCTTCCTCTTAGACCGTTCCTCTACCTCTCCTTCCTCTTAGACCGTTCCTCTACGCTCTCCTTCCTCTTAGACCGTTCTCTACTACACTCTCCTTCCCTCTTAGACCGTTCCTCTACCTCTCCTTCCTCTTAGACCGATCCTCTACCTCCTTCCTCTTAGACCGTTCCTCTACACTCTCCTTCCCCTTAGACCGTTCCTCTACACTCCTTCCTCTTAGAGCGTTCCTCTACCTCACGCTTCCTCTTGGACCGTTCCTCTACCTCACACTTCCTCTTGGACCGTTCCTCTACATTCACGCTTCCTCTTGGACCGTTCCTCTACCTCTCCTTCCTCTTAGACCGTTCCTCTACACTCTCCTTCCTCTTAGACCGTTTCTCTACACTCACACTTCCTCTTAGACCGTTCCTCTACACCGTTCCTCTCTCCCCTTCCTCTTAGACCGTTCCTCTACCTCCCTTCCTCTTAGACCGTTCCTCTACACTCACGCTTCCTCTTAGACCGTTCCTCTACGCTCTCGCTTCCTCTTAGACCGTTCCTCTACGCTCTCGCTTCCTCTTAGACCGTTCCTCTACGCTCTCGCTTCCTCTTAGACCGTTCCTCTACGCTCTCGCTTCCCCTTAGACCGTTCCTCTACGCTCTCCTTCCTCTTAGACCGTTCCTCTACACTCCCGCTTCCTCTTGGACCGTTCCTCTACACTCTCGCTTCCCCTTAGACCGTTCCTCTACACTCTCACTTCCTCTTAGACCGTTCCTCTACACTCTCGCTTCCTCTTAGACCGTTCCTCTACACTCACGCTTCCTCTTAGACCGTTCATCTACACTCTCGCTTCCCCTTAGACCGTTCCTCTACACTCGCTTCCTCTTAGAGCGTTCCTCTACACTCACGCTTCCTCTTAGACCGTTCCTCTACACTCACCCTTCCTCTTAGACCGTTCCTCTACACTCTCGCTTCCCCTTAGACCGTTCCTCTACACTCTCGCTTCCGCTTAGACCGTTCCTCTACACTCTCGCTTCCGCTTAGACCGTTCCTCTACACTCTCGCTTCCGCTTAGACCGTTCCTCTACACTCTCGCTTCCTCTTGGACCGCTCCTCTACACTCACGCTTCCTCTTAGACCGTTCCTCTACACTCTCGCTTCCTCTTAGACCGTTCCTCTACACTCTCGCTTCCCCTTAGACCGTTTCTCTACACTCACGCTTCCCCTTAGACCGTTTTTCTACACTCTCGCTTCCCCTTAGACCGTTCCTCTACACTCTCGCTTCCTCTTAGACCGTTCCTCTACACTCGCTTCCTCTTAGACCGTTTCTCTACACTCACGCTTCCTCTTAGACCGTTTCTCTACACTCTCGCTTCCTCTTAGACCGTTCCTCTATACCCTCGCTTCCGCTTAGACCGTTCCTCTATACCCTCGCTTCCGCTTAGACCGTTCGTCTACACTCACGCTTCCGCTTAGACCGTTCAGAAATATCTAAACTGTCAGTTGTATACAACAGATTTTTACCATCAATAGTTAAAAATGGCTTTGAGCGAGTGAAGCTTGTGGACCTTGGCGAAGAACATGCTTCTTAGAACATTGGCTCTACAGAATCTCAGCGAATTGTACCAGATAACGGAAAAGAACATCACTTGAGGACGTTTAACAGCAGCAACAACAGTTAATATGGATATGAAATGTAACTTGAAGAGAAAATTACATAATCAAGATGTTGATGTTCCACACAACTTCAAACAAAAGATTAGGAAGGAAACCATCACTACTGGAAAGGGACAACAGCGACGAGACTTGAGAAACATATTTTCCTGAAAATTTTCTTTTAACAGAAAGATTTTATAGATTTCAACCGACAGCAAAAACCGAATGAAACCGAATGTTTCATTATAAAGAAAAGGCTAATATTACCATTACCTCGCCTCAGTGCTGTTAAGTGTTTGAGGCAATGTAAAATCCAGTATTTTAAAAACTTTCAAAGTAGATAGGCAATTTGACCGATTGAGTCTAGACAATCTTCCCATAATTAAGTAGTCAATTTATGTATGTGTTTCACGTAATTCCCAAAAAAAATAATGTCATAGTCAAGATGTTGACATTCCTCACGACTTCAAATAAAAGGTTAGGAAGGAAACCCCCTTTCAGTAATGGAAAGAGCGATAACAGCAACTGGACTCGAGAAACATTTTCCTGAAAATTTTCTTTTAACAGAAAGATTTTATAGATTTCAACCGACAGCGGCACTATCTGTTCGGTCAATGAATGTCGAATGTTTCTTTATAAAGAAAAGGCTGATATTACCATTATCATTCTTGGTTAGTCTGATAACTTACCAGCACATCATCACACTATTATATTACGATTTAGTTTTGTCAGGGCTTCCTTTTGCGAGGAGCCCACCAAGCGCCATCTCTGGCGTGTTTGATTAAAATAAGTAATTTTGTGAGTCGAATTTACTAATTTTTTATTTATAGTTTACAAATAATTCGATCTTGCAGCTGATTTACTTCGATTTCTTTATGCCTAATTTGCTGAAATGTTACTTTTTTTCCCATTACAAATCATATGTTGCATTATAAGGCACTTCGAGGTGGTGTAATGGTTAACAAGCTTGTCTCGCTAGAAAAAGTTACGACTGCGTAGTGAGTTTGATCCTCACTGGGCGCCCCTACTTTCGGCCCTGTGCCACATCTAAGCTTAAAAAATCCCAATTTGGGCAGTTCGATGTGCTGTAATTGTTAGCAAGCATGTTTCGCTAGAGCCATTACGGCTTAGTAGTGAGTTCGATCCTCACTGTGTGCTCCACACTTTCGCCCTTGTGCCACATCTCACCTACGCTTAGAACTTTCGGCCTTGTACCACATCTAAGCTGCGCTTAGAAAATAACGATATGTTGTGTTATAAATTTAACTAGCAAATTATGGGATACTAGATTTGATATGGCCTTCCTCTGAGACACTGCATAGCCGTCTGGCTCGTTCCCTCCAAAAGGTTGCCGACCCATGGTCTAGGTTCTAAATGTAGTATGTGTGCACTCTATGAAATATGTTACATAAACACCCAACAATCTAGCTAGATACAGAGTGCGTTTCTTATACGCTGACCTGGCATTTGTTCTTTCAGTTACACACATTAACATTTCTCATGAATTGACGCAGCATTCTATTTTCACCAGAAAAGAAAACATTTTGAACTTTCTCTCCTCTCGTCCTCTTACGAGATTTCTCTCTCACCCTCGTCCTCTTACGAGCTTTCTCTCTCACCCTCGTCCTCTTACGAGCCTTCTCTCTCACCCTCGTCCTCTTACGAGCCTTCTCTCTCACCCTCGTCCTCTTACGAGCCTTCTCTCTCACCCTCGTCCTCTTACGAGCCTTCTCTCTCACCCTCGTCCTCTTACGGCTTTTCTCTCACCCTCTTACGAGCTTTCTCTCTCACCCTCTTACGAGCTTTCTCTCTCACCCTCTTACGAGCTTTCTCTCTCACCCTCTTACGAGCTTTCTCTCTCACCCTCTTACGAGCTTTCTCTCTCACCCTCTTACGAGCTTTCTCTCTCACCCTCTTACGAGATTCATCCCTCCGCCCTCTTACGAGATTTCTTCCCCCACCCTTATCCTCTTACGAGATTTCTTCCCCCTTCGGTTCTCTTACGAGATTCCCCCCGGTTCTCTTACGAGATCCCCCGGTTCTCTTACGAGATTCCCCGGTTCTCTTGAGATTTCTCCCCCTCCCGGTTCTCTACGAGATTTCTCCCCCAGTTCTCTTACGAGATTCCCCCCGGTTCTCTTACGAGATTCCCCCGGTTCTCTTTACGAGATCCCCCCCCGGTTCTCTTACGCGATTTCTCCTCCCCAACGTCCTCTTATGAGATTTCTCTCTTCACCACATTCTTCTGGTGTTCCTCTTTTGGCTGTTACTTAAATAGGCCGTTACACTTTAGAAAGAAAGTGCGGGGTGGGGGCGTAGGTGAGAAGTCGACTCGGCGATGCGCGTCTGATTTGTGGGAAAAATGCTCTAGTCAATGTTCACTCTTCTGGAAAAGCTTGTCGGTCGAAGTACAATAAATTACTTCTACTTGACAATCCATCCTATTCGATGTGAAACATGGGACAATGTAAGTATGATCGTTGATTCGTTATTCACGGGAGCAGGAGATGTGTCAGCTCTCTTATAATCCGGTTTAGTTGGTAGCGACATCCCATGACGTTTTCACCTTTTATTAATGAAATTCCAACGCGCAGTTTTACACGCTTAAGTGTAAAGTTGGCTGGGGGAGAGAATGTGTTCTTCGATCTTCAGACTAAATGTTGATGTTTAATAAAACTTCATCCATTCGATCTTTTAGCAAACTTGAACCTTCATGCCTGCAAAAAAATAAAAAAATAAAAAATAATAATAATAAAAAATAAACAAAAAAACAACAACAAAAAAGACGAAGTGTCAAAAAGATTGTTTTCAATTGACACCGCTATTATTTTTAACTATCTTCACCTCACCAGGAACATTTATTGTTTTAAAAAGCGATGATTAGAATTGTAATAAAACCTAAACATATGATGAATGTGAATTTAATACATTTTTTGTTCTTGAGAATTTGCAACAAAAATATTAAACAATATTTATTAAATAGTTTATTTACAGAAATAATTACATATTTACATAATTCTAAAAACTAATACAATTAAAATTAATACAATGCAATATTTCTATCATTTACCAATTTATAAAAAAATAAATATGTAAACATATTTTTTTTATTTATAAATTTATAAAGATTTAATAAATTATTCAAATATATGAACCAGCTATAATGAAGTCTTTATATATCATTTTATAAAGTTCAAATCAATTGGAAATTAGCCGATTTTTTGCCAAACATTCCAATAATAATATAATAATAAATAATGTTTATTATTTTTGCTGGCAGTTTTCAACAACAAAAAAATGTATAAATTCACTTTCATATGTTTAAGTTTTATAACAATTTTAATCATCGTTTTTTAAAACAAAAAAAAATTGCTGAGCAGCGAAGGTAGTTAAAATAAATCAGTCAATTTTGAGTTTGCCGATTTTTTTTTCTTATTTTTAAGGTAAGAACAATTTTTCGGTGAAATGGGATGCTATTTGCGAAAAACTCCAACAAGAATCTTTGCTTTCATATCGTAGGATTATTATTTATGAGTTGTTTCCATAGATATTCCACAGGCATTCTGATCTCTGATTTGACAATTGGCATATAAATGACATTTATAAAAGCCATCGTTCTGATTTTTTTTAATGCTATGTACCAGTAGTTAAAATTGCCTTTAAGCATGTCAAACCTGTGTGTCTTGATGAAGAACTGTACTAAATAACAGAAACCACATCATTTAATTTTTTTTTTACGGTATATCAACCTCAACGGGTTATTTAATACCGACAAGATTTTTATTGCTGGTACTAATTTTTTCTTCAAAAATTCATTACTGGTAATAATTTTTTACAAAAATGTATTGCCGGTATTAAAACATATTTTTACACTTTCATAGTGTTTTGTACCCAGTTTGTGGTTAACTATTTGCCCATAGCTGGGACCCTAACAGGTGCTACCAACCCGGGTCAGGGTGGACCTGGGAACACCAGCAATTAAGAGGTGGTTACACGCTCCTCAAAACCTCCTGATCAGAGGCCTTGCTACTGGACGTAGTTTATCGTCTTTCCCAGGACGCGGATGTAGTTTATCATCATATCCAGGACGTTCACATCACTTGAGGATTACCAACAACAGCAACATCTAAAATGGGTAGCACATGTAAATCAAAGAGAAAATAATGTCCTAACTTCAAAGAAAGGGTTAGGAAGAACCCCCCCCCACCACCACCACCACACACACACACCTAAATACTGGAAATCGATAACAGCTACTGGCCCTGAGAAACAACTATAGTACACCGTTGAATAATGTTGGTGTCAGACGCCACCCAATAACACTCGCTCTAATCGTACTTGCTCAATAAAACACGCTCGAATAGTAATCCGTATAGAGGAATAGTATAGTAAATAGAGAATAGTGGTCCGTATAGTATTGAGGATAGAATAGAAATAGCGATCCGAATAGTAATAGACGATAGACTAGAAATGGAGATCAATGTAGATGTCACGCGACTTCCTATATATGCGTTTCCTCTATGGTCACATGATCCACTTAATTCAATAATGGGATCCCCTGTGTTTGCTCACTGGCGATCTATGTTCAAACTCAAGTGTCGGCATCGACACTTTATTCCTATATAACATTTATTTTCCTGAATGACCGTTTTAAGAGAAACATTTTATAAATTTCAACCGATAGACGCACTGGCTGCTCAGTCAATGAGTGCCGAATGTTTCCTTATAAGGAAACGGCTGATATTACCATGTCTCTTCAGGATAGAAGCGGTAGCAACTCATCACATATTCCTTTTGAATTATTATGTGTGAATAGCTAGACTTTCTTTAATGGATTGGCTTCCGTTGCCTTTTCTTCAGTTTTCAATTCAGGGTAGCTCTTTTCTTAGGCTGACCTCTCATGTTTTGGGTGACTTCCTGTCTATCTTGCTATTTAATCCATAAGTGCAGACGTGATGGATTAAAGATATTCTCAAGGTCAATTTCTGCGAAAGTGAATGCAACAGACTGCACTGTAATTTGAACTCGACAGGCCAATTTCACTTTCTGCCACAATATCTGTTTGGCCACAATCTATAGTGGTTTAATTGTGGGGTTGGATTTGGGCCTTGTTAGGATTAACCCACTATAAGGGATGCATGAATGAAACACGATAAATCACATTTTAAGAACAATCAAGTCTGGCGTATAGCAATAATAAATTATGTAAACATTAAGGGATATCGTATTGTACAAAAACAGTGGTAATGATCATAGATGACACAAGGTTGGTATTTAAGTAGGATTAAATAAAAAAAAATATTACATTTCAATGAATACAAGAGTTTTTAAAAGAACTTAAATGTTTTTAGAGATGCAAGTTTGGTAGTGTCCTGTGAATAAGTAAAAGGAGGTTGAATGTATGAGAGAAGTAAAAAGGGTAAAAATGATGGGAGAGGTGTGAGGAGTAGTAGTGGTTGTTGAAGCAGAGATGCCTTTGCTGTATCCGATCACAGTTGTAAGTGTTCGTCTTTCTGTGTCTCCTGTTGGAATCTCGCTGGGTCTATTTATACTGTTAGCGAAGTTGAAAGAGGCTCCGTTGAGTTGTTGATTATTTTTCAGGTGCGCTCATTTCTTATTGGTCAACATATATTTATTTAGGATTGTATTTAATCAACTTCAATCGGAAGTTATGCGTGGAGCCCATTGCGCAAAGCCCCAAATATATCATTATGGTTTACTCTATCAAAGAGGTAACTTTCCTTTTCTGCTCTTAGTGTCACTACAAATCTACTGCTGTGTTCAAGAAAATTCTGAAGTTAGTAATTAAGTTTTGTTAAGGTTTGTTGTGAATGATTTACTTATATCTTGTTTTTTGTTTTTATATAATAGGTTTGTGCGATTGCTATACTTGTATATCAAAGAACTTCTGTTAATGACTGCTTGATGGTGCTGCCAATGCAGTATATTAGAAAAAGGGGAGTTAGTTACATTCTCTTCCCCTTTGCGATAAGATGTATCACGTGTGAACTTGTGTATGTAGATAGTGTACGTGTGAAGTTCTTTTGAAAGATTACGAGAGATTTACGTTGTGAAAAGAGTTCTGTATCTCCAGGTTTGGTAGAATTGTTATATATGCCTTTTGTCAAGTTAGTCTTAGGAATTGTATGCGTGTACAATGATATGGAATTGTTTGCCGTGTTGTGTTCGATACGACATGAGATTCGCTGAGGGCCAAAAGGTCCCGCAGAATGGCGACGCGATACATCTTATCACCAAGGAGAAGAGAATGATACTTTTATGCCAAATAAGTAAATATACTGCTTCATGATAGTTCCTAAATATAACTTTTTTTTTCTTTTTTTTTCCATAGTCTTGCCATCTTCTTGCGATGAAAATTCTCACCTTCAAGATTAATTAACATTATTAATAAATCTATTTGGAACATTCTGAAATTAAACTGTATCACAATTAGTTTATATACATTTATATTTCTAACATAATATTACAATATAAAAAGAAACATGAATGAATTTAGTAATATTATTAGTTTCTAAAGAAGTGTCAGATCTTTATTTATTAATCTGACAGATTTTATCAATTAAACGTTATTTTAGTGTCTATCCACATTTAGGTAGACGCCTCGTCCATTTATTAGACAGCATATTTATTTTCGTCTGCTAGTCTGAACATTCGAGAAATCTTATTAAAGAAAAATATGCCCTCACAGGCAGGATTCGAACCTGCGTCTCGCTTTGCAGGAGAGACCATTGTTAGATCCGACGTGTTCTAGACCGACTCGGCCAAGAGTGCGTCGCCGGTCATGCAAGGCTGAATAGTGCCGAAAAGTTGTCGAAAGTCCATATCTGCTCAGTTTCGTATCCGAACGTAACGAAAGCAATTTATAAAGAAGTAATGGATTTTTAATTTATTAATCCGACAAATTTTATCACTTTAAATGTTATTTTTAGCGGATACCCATATTTGAGTAGACGCTTTGTTTATTCATTAAACAGTATATTTATTTTAGTCTACCGGCCTGAATATTAGAGAAGTCTTGTTAAAAAAAGTTTGCGCTTCTCGAACTTGCGCTCCACTTTAGTGTTAATGGCAGACACAAAACCTCTTAGAGAAAGTAGTAAAGGAAGACGAGAAGAAAGGACTAAGCATCGATTGTAAGAAGACAGAATATGGTTGTTAGCAAGAGAAAAAGCCCGAAAGGTGAACTACGCATTGAAGAGACAGAATATTAAATACTGTTCTTGGGAAGTGTTTTAGCAGACAATGAAACATCC